TCTTTCTAATAGAGTAAGTATTATGATCCTTTCTTCAAGTTCTCTAAGAAAGGTAGTCAGAGATGCTTTTTAGGAGCCATAAAGTCCTTCTGAGAACACTTACTGGTCTCACCAAAAGGCTTTCAGATCAGGAGATTCAGCAAAGGATGAGTAGGAAAGTTGAATCAAGAAAATGGGACTTTGGTTTGATTTGGGCTTTGGAAGGATGCACATAACACAACCCTGCCATGACAAGTAGAAATGTTTATTTCCCACTAAAGCAAAGAGACTATCTAGCTATAATACAGCCAGAAAGCTGTAACATGCTTATTGTTCTTCTGCTATGTCAGTCTCTCCTTAACTGCAGCAGTTCATTCATATTTCTGTGTTACGACCAGAGCAATGTGAGCAGAAGGGACATAACCAATGTAACAGCCATCTCAAAAATCATCAAAATAAACATCAGTACATGGATCTGGCAATCGGTGAAACATAAAACAATCACTACTTAATGTGCCAGACTCTGATTGATACAGTACAGCTCAAAAGCCAGGAGAAAAACTAACCCTGGTTGCAAGTACTGTGGACTGCCTTTTTTTTTTTCTTTTAATATAACATCAGCAGCTCATAGCAGCTGGGGTTTGTGATGTACAACAAAAATCACCTAAACCACAACCTACAGGCTTTAAAAATTCATGCAAGTAACTGCAAACACTTGTACAAATATGTGCCAGGCGCACTACTACCATTAATGTTTCATTCCTGCTTAGAAACATTTTCATTTCTAAAGCAGCAGCTGCTGTCGTGTTAGGCAGAAGAAATCCAGCCTAGCAGTGGCTCACCAGCCCTCAGATTTGTAGCTGCAGAAACACGGCCCCTCTTGAACCTGTCCAAACCTGTGTTCACTCTGTCACTGGAGCAGCAGCGCTGTGAGAAAGAGGGTGACATTTACGGGTGGCCTCACACCTGCTGGAGGGTGCTCTGAAAGCAACGGCCTGGCAAGGCAAAAGCCATCAACGTCTTGTTAATACATCACTCTGGGATTTACTTAAGCCAAGCCTTGCAGCAAAGGGACCAGCAACGACTCAGCAAGGCCGGCCCTGTTCCTGGCCCTTTTCTGTCATGGCACTTCGGTGTTAAGCGCTGGGATAAAGAACTAAGAAAATACCTATTTTGTAACCAAATTATACAATTTTTGTATGTTTTTAGGCAGCACTTGCCACTGGATAGTGATGCTTTATGTCCATGATTCTTTGACTTGCTATAGAAGTATTTTAAGAAGAAAATAAAAAAAGCATTCAGATGTGCCAAAAATGTGAGGTTAACTGAAGTGTAATTAGCTCTGAAAGTTCCTTTGTAACCTGCCTAATGTTACAATAGATTTCAAGAACTGTGGGTACAATGCAGTAGTTTTTACCTCCACAAAGTTTTAATATAAAGTGAAGAAAGATGCTTACCCTTTAAAAATGGCAATGCAGACTGGTGTGAACTGATGTATTTTATTATTAGATTCTCATTGTGATGTAAGTTTAAATAAATTGTTGGGTTATGGAAGATTGTAATACTGTGTGATGCAAATTATTTCTCTGTGTATTTGAGGTACAATCTAGAGCATCCACGAGGAAATGATGGGGGAACTACAGACATTCTTCTTGAACAAAGTCAAAGAACAGCTGTAGTTAAAGCTGGTATGTACAGTAGTTACAAATTTTTATGGCATCACAGTCTAATATTTTAGGAATGTTATATGCACAGGCAAATTAAGCCACATAGTTTTCGATCCTGGGCATTTTCTTTAATTAAAAACTTTATTTGCTACATTTTTTAAAACTGAGAAAGGCCTGCAGCAAAAACACACTCATTAATTAATGTTAGAATAAATGAAGAAATACTGGGAGTGGAGATGGAGGAGGTAAGGCTGAGGAAATAGAAGTCACACAGCCAGCCATGGATGGAAGGCATATCCATGACACACACACACTCCAAATCTGCTGCCACACCACTGTGATTATTACTAGTGACCCAGCTGTAACAGATTTCTGTTCCTCATTGCATTCCAGCTTTAGCACAGAACAAAATGAAGCTCCCACCTAGTCCTTTGCCTTCCCTCACCCATGTCCCTGTGCAACACTCATATATTGCGAATTATTCTTCAAACTACGGCCCTTAAGAGTTCCATACAAAACTGGTGACAGCAGTTAGCCAGTAAAAACACTCAACCTTAATGAGCATCATTAAGTCTGAACTATGAAGGTTAATTACATAATTGTAGCAGATGGCAGCATTTTCACCTAAAGCAAACCCAGCTGAGCCCACTAAAAAAGCTAGCAGGGAAGTGTTCGAAAATGTCTGGGTAGCGGCTGCCGTGGTTTGCTCAACAGTTTATTTGCATTGCTCGTGGCTGTGCAGCACTCAAGGAACTGCAGCCTGGGAATACAACGCTGCTGTTTGTGCTGCTGCTTGCACTGCCCCAGGTGCCGCTGATCAGCTGCTGGTACGAGGCAAACAATGCTGGAAAAGATCTATCCCATGTTCCTTTATAAACTCCACGTTTTCTAGGCAGCAGGGAATAGTTGGATGGAGCTGCTGCTTGCACGGTGGTTGGCTGCGGGGTTCGCGTTGGTCTCTGGGGTCTTGTCACTTCTGGTCTCTGTGACCTCTATTAGGAGTCACCTCCCAGTTTCTACTCCAGCTCACACCAGGCGGCCCCGCGGTTCAGTGGGTGGACAGGCAGAGTTGGCTCAGCTTTGCCGAGCCCAAGGTGCTCCCGATGCCTTGGTTTAAGGGTCAGCGAGGTGTCACACTGGGTGGCCAGTCCGGTATCGTTCTGTTCTGTATCGTCCGGTATCTGGCTGAGCCAAGGTGTTTTCCAGGTGTTTATCCCAGATGTTTTTCAGGATGCGCTCCGCAGCTTTCGAGAAGGCGGAGGTGAACGGGGTTCGCCAGCAGGTGGCGCCGCAGGGCGCCCGTCCCGCTAGGCTGGGGATGGGACGGGACGGGATGGGATGGAATGGAATATTTCACTGGAAAGGGACCTACAACAGCCATTTGGTCCAACTGCCTGAGCAACTCGGGGCTGGCAGAGTCACAGCCCGTTGTTGAGGGCACTGTCCAAATGCCTCGAGCACTGCCAGGCCTGGGGTATGACTGCGTCTCCAGGAAGCTTGTTTTAGGCTTTTCACAAAAAAATGCTCCCTGATGTCCTGTATAAACCTACCTGGGGCAGCACTGAATCTTTCCTATCTGATGTCCGGATCCTGGGGAGAAAAGCTCAGCACTTCCCTCTCCATGTCTCCTCCTCACAGGCAGTGCAGAGTGCAATGAGGTCACCCCTCAGTCTCCCTCCCTCCAAGCCCAGAGGCCTCAGCTGCTCATCACAGGAGCACATGTATATGTGATACACAGATTTTCTGGGAAGTTTAAAATAATAACTTCTCAAGTTTTATTGATCCTGAACCATCGCCCTCAGCATTGTTCATCTGTGACGACAGGAGTCCCTGCTGTCACCACAACATGGCACGGGATCACCGTGGGTTTACCCCAGGAAACCGCATGAGCTGGCAGCAGAAGGGTGGCCCTGCTGAGCCACAGGAGAGCATGTGAGACGTGAGGGTGTCCAACACTTCACCAGCACCATCCCTGGCAGCAGGGACAAGAGCTCCATGTGCTGGCATATGGGACAGCTTGTGCCTATTCGCTGTGGCAGCCTCAGGACAGTGATCTGACGTCAGTGTCACACGGCTGCTGTTGATGTTGACTATTTTCATGCTAGCAACTTATGGAATTGATTCTGATTCTGCTGTTTCTACCCCAATTCTGCTGTTGTTTGCTCACGCACACCGAGGCAAAAGCACTGTGTGCCTGCAGAGTCCATTACCCGGCAGGGTCTCCAAGCTGGCAGGCACACACCCCACAGCCTGTGACACCTCTCGTCTGTGAAGAAAGCACAGCTGCTCCTCCGAGCACCTCCACCCTCCGAGAGCCCTGCAGGCAGCAAGGAACTCCTCGGGCGTGGAACAGAGCACACAGGCAGTACAAGCAGTCCTGTTAGTTTGGCAGCTTACTCTTACCCCGATGCAGGGGGAACCCCACAGTCTCACAAGCAGGAGGAACAGAGGTTGTTGCGAGACTTGCACAGCTTT